CCCAAAGGGACCATCCCTGAGACCCCCAAAGGGATCATCCCTGAAACAGTTCCTGGGACACCCCAGGACCATCCCTGAGACCCCCAAAGGGACCATCCCTGAGACAGTTCCTGGGACCCCCCAAAGGACCATCCCTGAGATCCCAAAGGACCATCCCTGAGATCCCCAAAGGGACCATCCCTGAAACAATTCCTGGGACACCCCAGAACCATCCCTGGGACCCCAAAGGGACCATCCCTGAGACCCCAAAGGACCATCCCTGAGACAGTTCCTGGACACCCCAGGACCATCCATGAGACCCTCTCAGAGGGGTGATCCATGAGACCCCCTCAAGGACCATCCATGAGACCCTCAAGGGGACCATCCCGGAGACCCTCAAAGGACCATCCCTGAGACCCCAAAGGGACCATCCCTGAAACAGTTCCTGGGACACCTCAGGACCATCCCTGAGACCCCAAAAGGACCATCCCTGAGACCCCAAAAGGACCATCCCTGAGACCCCAAAAGGACCATCCCTGAGACCCCCAAAGGGACCATCCCTGAGACAGTTCCTGGGACCCCCAAAGGGACCATCCCTGAAACAATTCCTGGGACACCCCAGGCCCGTCCCTGAGCTCCCCAATCCCCTCACCCCCCCGTCCCTCCCTGGCAGGAGCAGCTGCCGGAGCTGAGCGGGCACTTCCGTGCCCAGAGCTTCCTGACCTCCATGTACGCCTCCTCCTGGTTCCTCACCCTCTTCCTCACCACCTTCCCCCTGCCCGTGGCCACGCGCGTCTTCGACGTCTTCATGGACGAGGTACCGGCCCCCTGGACCCCCAAAAAACCCCCAAACCCCCTCCCTGTGTTTTGGGGGGACGGCAAACCCCAAATGCCCATGGGGTCGGTGCCGCAGGGGCTGGAGGTCGTGTTCCGTGTGGGGCTGGCGCTGCTGCAGCTCAACCAGGCCGAGCTGGTCCAGCTGGACATGGAGGGCATGTCCCAGGTACCGGGGGGTTATGGGGTGGGCTGGGGGGTGGCGGGGGCCAGGGGGGGCAGTTTTGGGGTGGGTGGGACCAGGGGGAGCAGTTTGGGGTGGGTGGGACCAGGGGGAGCAGTTTTGGGGTTGTTTCTCCCATTTCGAGATGGTTTTAGGGTGGTTTCTCCCATTCTGGGGCAGTTTTGGGGTGGTTTCTCCCATTCCAAGGTGGTTTTGGGGTGGTTTCTGCCATTCTGGGGTGGTTTTGGGGCAGTTTTGGGGTAATCTCTCCTGTTTCAGGGTGGTTTGGGGGCAGTTTCTCCCATTTTTGGACAGTTTTCGGTGGTTTTGGGGTGGTCTCTCCCATTCCGGAGCAGTTCTGGGGTGGTTTTGGGGTGGTCTTTCCTGTTCCAGGGCAGTTTTGGGGTGGTTTCTCCCATTTTGGGGCGGTTTCGGGGTGGTCTCTTGCAATTTGGGGCGGATTTGGGGTGGTCTCTCTCATTCCAGGGCAGTTCTGGGGCAATTTCTCCCATTTTGGGGCGGTTTTGGGGTGATTTCTCCCATTCTGGGGTGGTTTTGGGGCAGTTTTGGGGCAGTCTCTCCCATTTTGGGGCAGTTTTGGGCTGGTTTCTCCCATTCCGGGGTGGTTTTGGGGGAGTTTTGGGGTGGTCTCTCCCATT